GCTGGTTGGGAAGCCCACAATCTCACTCTCAACTTCATCAGAAGATCCATCCTCATTGAAGGCGATTCAAAGTTAGTTATTGACTGTCTAAAGATCCAGGTTGACCCTCCATGGAGGTTGAAAAGCATAATTGAAGGTTGCATGGCTCTAGTCGAGAGATTGGACGGCGCGGTGGAGTACGGTCACACTTTCCGATAAGGGAACGAGTTGCTGATTGGCTTGCTAATTGTTCTCACTCTAACATAGCTTCTGTTTCTTCCTTGCCTTTCGCTTTAAAGTGTTTCTCTTGTGCTGACGTTTGGGGTTGGGCTACCCCCCGCTGTGTGTAGCCCATTTTTTTTGTTCTTTTGTGTGATCGTAAGAGATCTTTTAGATGAAAATATTGCAGAAGCTATCTTGAAGCTGTCACTTCCTATGTAGAACCTTACTATACCAGACAAGTTAATTTAGAGATGGACCCCACAGGGGAGATACACAGTCAACTCTAGGTATAAAGTTTTAGTCCAGAACAAACCTCTTCTTCAAATAATAATGTGGCTATCCCAAACCTTAGTTGTCAAGCCTTTTGGAGGAGGAGAAACCTACACCACAAATCATGTTTTTCTTATGGAAGTGCTTAATGGGAGTTTTACCAATAAATTTGGACCTTGCCTCTCGATCTCATAAAATAAACTCTCTTTGTCCTCTTTGTAATGAAGCCCTAGAATCCCTCGAGCATGCCTTCTTCTTATGCCCACCTGTTCATGCAGTTTGGTTTAGAAGTACAATGTCTCTTAAAACATTGGAGTTTCCTTCTCGTACTTTGCAAGAATGGTTGGCAATTTGGGATTATATGGATATACAATCTAACTCCCACAATGGATCTCTTTTTGACATGGCGTAGTAGAGGCATGTCATTAGATTGGTGTTGCCAGAGGCGGGCGGCGGAGGCGGCAGCGACAACGTTGGTGGATGGTGATTATTGAGGTTCGTGGGTTGGGGAGGAAGTGGTTTGGAGGAGAAAGAAGATGAACAATGTTTTTGCCCTTATTTGATATATTTTTTAAAAAGTTAGCCTATTTTAAAAATTATATTAAAAGAATTATTTTTATTGATACTAGGGCCCAAAAGTTGTCCTTATCAGCTATGATGATGCGCGATTCAGTCGGTCCTAGCTGCCGGTTACCTTGCCTTTGACAGAGCTGAAGATGCCTGAAACAAGGAAGAGAATGGGGACTTCCGGGGAGGAACCCAGTAGGAACACTCCGAAGCTCAAGTTAACACTCTTGAGGAGGCAAGGAAAACAATGGATTTCAAGACCAGAGAGCACAGAAATCACATACCTCATTCTTTGGGGGAAGGGGGCCTTTTATAACCACCCTGGTACACTCACTCCCATACCTCTGCCAGATCGGGTGCCATAACCGCCACTGTCTTCCCTGTCAGGGCCGTCTTTGCAACGTCTGAGATGGCGGTAGCAGGTGGCCGTCGGAGTGCGGCTGTCATGTGTTAGACCCCTAATCAGTCAGGCGCGCCGCCTCCATGTACGGACTTCTTTGGCGTCAGGTACGGTTCGTTTGGTCACGCGTCCTGTAGCTGAAGTGCCGGAGTGGTGCGCGAGGTGGTCTTGAGTTCAGATAGAAGTGTGGCCTGAATTGACCTGAGGTGGGTCAGCTTGGGCTCTTGCCCTTTGCGGTGCTCCTTGCACGGCTCGGGGTCTCTGAGGGAAAGCTCGGGCTCTTCCTAGGAAGTGTGGGTTCCTTTTGGGGGAGCTCGGGTCCTTCCTGGGATACGTTTGTCAGTTCGGGCTTCATCCTTAGCGAGTTCTCTTAACGTTGGGCTTCCCCTTGGTGAGCTCGGGTACAATTGTTGCTGTACTGAGCTGGCGCTCCTGTCAAGTCACACTCTGTTGCTTCCACGTGTCGCATGACCAAGGGGTCGGGCCAAATCTCCCTCCATCAAGCTATAATCCATTTAAAAAAAAAAGCAATAAAACAAAATTTAATGAAACAAACCCTTACCTATTGCCTTTTTGAAAGGTTTCCCAATTTCTGTTGTATCTACAATTTCTTCTTTTAAGCTTTAATGTGGAAAAGACGATTTTGGAGATGGTATCGAATTTGGAAGTTGTTTAGGATCAACCTCGCATGGTAGCTTGAATATCAAATGTGGAGGCTAAGAGGTGAGAATTTTCAAGTTTTCAGATTCATTTAACCCATGTTTGGTTTGAAGGAAAAAAGTAGGAAAACCTATAAAAACTTATAGTATTTATGGTAGGAGTCTATCCACAAGAGGTGATTTCTTAGTTAACATTTACTAGTTGAACAGGAAGATAAAACACTTCTTAGACATCTATTAATGGCAGGAAGGGAACTTCAAAAAAATTATACGAACAAGAAAAAATGTGTTAAGAGATTAATAAAAAATATATATTTTAAGAGATTCACAAAAAAAAAAGATTGATTGGACTATGATAAGAGAAAGATATGTTATCTGAAAATCTTTTGATCAATCAACTGGAATCATAAACATTGAATCCAATCAGATATATATATATATATATATATAAAGGTACGTCCCTTCTTTTGTAGCGTATATGGGGAAGGTGATTATTTAAAAACTTTTCCAGGATGTTACCTACCTTCTATTTCCGCCATCATCAATATATTCTATTTAAAAACGTCAACATTTTCGGTTAAACTGTGGTATTGGAAAAAACTTGATCAAAGCTCTTCAAATATTATGTAATTGCAAATCGGATCCGCAGGGATGCAAGCAACTCAGCTGTACTCTATAACTCCGAAAATCTTCTGCTATTCCTTTTTTTTTTTTAAAGTCATTCTGCTATTCCTTATCAATCTATCTCTCTTTTCTCCTACTGTATCCACCACCAGCCGTTATTGATGCTTAGGCCTGAAAATATACACTTTTGCATAGGATCTTTTCTTAATTTCTTAGGTAACGAGTAACGATACGTTATAGTCTAAAATAGGGCTAGGTATTCAGTGATTTTCTTTTTTTTTTTTTCATTCACATATGTTGAAAAAATCTCAATAGGTTTGACCTATTTGCACTCTTAGGCATCATGGATTTTCCATTGAGAATTTGATAGTTTGTATTGCGTTTATTGTAAAAGTTCAACTATGATGTATTAGATATATACCTCAGCTAAGCATGTTAAAATCTCGTTATTTTTCATTAGGCTTAGTTTGGAAATAATATAAATATGTAAAGTGCAAAATCTTGTATTTTGTATTATGTTAAATGTATTTATACTGTACATTTTTATATTTGTATTCCTTTGGGACTGAGTCTTAAGCTTAATTTGGAGGAATACAAATACATGCAAAATAATAGATAATACAAGGTTTTTGGCACTCTACATATTTGCAATTGTACTCCTTCCAAACTGAGCCTATAACATAATGTACCTTTATATTAGAATTATTCAATTGTTGGACGGTCAAAACCAAATAGATAACTCGTTTAATAAGCATCTACTATTTGGTCCGGATATCCAATTCATTTGTCTTCCACCTCCGTTCATTTTATGATAGTTGCCTTCCACTCCTATGTGCAAGAAAGTGAGGGGTATTTGTCACAAAGCCAAATGGATCAAAAACAGGTCAGCCATGGATATTTGTCACAAAGCCAAATGGAATGCAAAAAAAAGTCTGCGATTGAAAGAAAATTGCATATTAGTACCATGTATTTTAGGTTTAGTTTTACTTTTTTTTTGAATTTTAAAACGTGTTAATCTAGTATTTAAATTTTCAAAACGTGTTAATTTAGTATAAAACCATTAATCGTCATTAAATTGCATGTGAAATGACACAAATGCCTTTCCGGTGTCATCTAATTTTCTTTATCAACCTTCCAAATGCCCATCTCTTAAGAAGTGGATAGAGAAAAGTAATTTGTAAAAAACCAATAAGTTGTTTTCGTTCAATGAACAGTTTCAAAGGGTAATTTTGACATTTCAAAAGTTTTAAGTTGCACATATCATCATGTGATAGAAATATCTGACAAATTACTAACGACATGGACTAAATTGGCACGTTTTGGAAGTTTAGATAATTAGCACATTTTAAAGTAGGGGGATCAAATTGAGACTAAACCCAAAATATAGGGTATTAGTATGCAAATTTTTCATAAATTTATAACATCAGGCGGCGATAACTGCTTTTTTAATGGGAAAATTCCCGATTAGTACTCTGTACTTTGGGTCTAGTGTCACTTTGGTCCCTAAACTTTAAAATGCGACAATTCAGTACTCGGACTTTCAAAATGTGATAATCCAGTACCTGCCATTAACTAGTTGTTAATCAACCGTTAAGTGACATTTTAAAAAGATACAAATGCCCTTCGAGTGTTATATAATTTTCTTTATCGACTATCCAAATATTACAAACAAGTAAAAAATAATACTCCCAAATCCTTGTCTCCTCTATTCAATAAAGTTGGGGTCACTAGAATGCCCACTTAAACGTAACCCCAACTTTCTTGAATGGAAGAAGCAAGGGTTTGGGACCATTAATTTTTTGACAATGTATAGATGGTTGAAAAAGAAAATTAAATGACACTCGAAGGACATTTGTGTCATTTTCAAATGTCATTTAATGATAGGTACTGGATTGTCATATTTTAAAAGTTGAGATCGGCTTCAATCAGAACAAGGCCTATTCAAACAGCCTTTACAACCTTTCATCGAGAATATCTCTGTACTTTTATGCCTTATTTCATGGGGAGATATTCCCATTGCAAGACAGTGATGGCTGTTATGGGAAATAGAGTGAGGGTACTAATCGGAAAATTTTCCTTTTTTTAATTTCCATCCATGGTGTTTCATTGGAAGATCGCATGGAATGCTGCGACCGGGGTCACAGCTCGCAGGATCCAACCAACCACGCCAAATGGATGATTCGGATCTAACGGTGATACAGAAACTCTTGATGTGATTTGCATCACCTGTACATTTCTCGGTCTTTTCTCTTCTTTTTCTAGCGAGTACGACAGTGTCGCGAGGGGGCTGCCCCATATCATGTTCCGAAGTAATAAAAGCACGCAGAGGGAGAGAGACGAAGCCTAAAACAGAAAACCCCATTTTTCCCGGTGTTTTAATATTAAAGACGAGGCATCTCTCTGGCAACCTATCCATTTCGAGAGCTCGCTCCCATGATTTTTTTCTCAACTATAAAAAGCCGTTCATCACATCTGAACTTCGGTACTTGCCGCTGGTTACTTTGCAACGATGGTCTCCATCACTTCCGTTGAGTTGAATTATCTTGTCTTTCGTTACCTCCACGAATCAGGTCGGTTTTATCTTCTCTTCGGAATAGAAACATTAAAAGTTTATTTTTTTTCCTCCTAGGGTTTTTGTTCTGTCAATTACTTATACTTCGTCACTGTAATCCAACCAAACTAGGGTTTTTAGGTTTCCCTCGGTGTTGGCTTACGTGATTTCTTCCTCAAGATAAGATTAGAAAATGAGAATGTGAGAGAGTTAACTTCGAGGGTCGAGGACATCCTCAAAGCTCTCGACATAGTGGTCTTAATTCAAATAATTTCCTTCTCATCTTAATTACCAGATTCGTACAATGTATGTAGACTCATAGGGAACTAACGCGACTAACCCAAACCAACGTAAGTCCCAACTAATCCACTAACAAGATACCACCAAGAAAAAAAATTTAAATAGTTAGAAAAACATGCAAAATATAGTTTTTTTTGCCCTATTGATGGGGGTAGTAGTCAAAATTCTCAGATCTGTGGACGTTGATTGGCTCTTCATTTCCCATGGTTTTCTGATTTTTTTTTTGGTAATCTAATTCATGAACTTACAGTGCCACCATTTTGTGAATGTATCGTAGTTTAGAAACAACAGTTTACCCAAAAAAAAGTTTAGAAACAATTGTGTTGGGTCCAAAATGTTGCTTACACAGAAAACATAACTTGTTATGCATGCAAAAAAACATAAATCTGTGGAGATAATAGGGTATTACCTGTCTTAACAAAGTCTGGAGAAAATCAGAATTGAAAGCATTAAAGTATTCTCATATGAAGCATTGAAGCTAGAGGACTTCTGAGAAAAAAAAATATTTAGATTGCTTGAAAAAAGGATGCAAAAAGAAGAGTAACTGGAAATCCTCAATGAACTGGAGGACTTATTATTCTGATAAAAGGAAAAACTGCAGGACTTCCAATGTAGTTCGGAAATGCATAATAGGGATTAACCTTTGTTTTAAAAGTGGGAAGTGCAACTAAACTGCAAGTAGGCACTACTTTTGATAAAAAATTTAAAACTTGTTACATAAGAATATGCAAATCAAAATATAAAAAAAACTTATAAAAAAAGCAAATCAAAATTGCAAGAAAATCCAAAAGCCTATTAGCTTAATTGGTTAGAACTTTGTGCTATTAACATGGGAAGGTGCCAGCTCACTTTCTGGTAAAGTATCTAGCTATTTGTAGTGCAGACCTTGGATTGAATCCCGTATTCACCAGGGCTGGGGAATGGTTGTTTGGGTTAATCCAGGAAATTCAAGCACAAGAGGAGGGGATGTAACTTGGGTCAGGTTGCTTAGGATTTATTTATTTATTTTTAATTTTTTAAGATAGATAAAGAAAAAAATTATTACTAAAATAAAAGATTACAGCTTAAATATGGTGACAAGAGATCATCCTCAAACCAAGAAAGAAACAAGATAACAACAAAGTTTTTTGTTTTTAATTTGAATGGGTCCATAGTCAAACCCGAGCCTGTTGAACTTCTTCAAATAGGGCAACAACCTGACTTGCACCTTTGATGCAACTCAAATATGAGGAGAGAATGTGAAAGAAATTTGCTCAAAGAATTGAGAAAGAGAAAAAGGAAATTGGATGGAACTTTACTAATATGAGCGACTTACAATATGAAGCAACAAGGTTGGGGACTCACTCACCCAAAGGGTTAGGGATTCACTCACCCAAAGAAGAGGGGACTCACTCAGTCTCAGCTCTCAAAGAAAGCTCTAAGCTTCTCAAAACAAAGGGAATAACTTGATGCCTCTAGCTTGAGATTACAAGGCTTTATATAGAGAACACAAACTAGTAGTTGGAGCATTTAATGTAAACTAACTGTTAGAAATTCACCAACAAACTAGTTGTTGGATCTTTTAATGAACTAGCTTTCAGAAGTCCACTAACAAGTAGCCATATGATTCTATGTTTCTCGGACCATGATTGTGGGCATCAACCTCTAATAGGAAGGGTGTTTAGTAATAGCAATGGTGTTATTTTGGCCTTGTTTTCTGGTCCAATTGGCTTTGGAATTTTACAGAGCAGAACTAATAGCTGTACTTAAAGGACTGAGATTGGGAAAAACCCTAGTTACTATGATTTGGACGTGGGGGAAGATTCAATTGTGGTTGTACGGTGGCTGAATTTTAACGACATTGGAACTTGAAAACACAGACATGCCATAAGGGAGGTAAAACAGTTGCGTGGGGAGTATAAGGCTACCTTTGGATGGACTTAGAGGCCAGCCAACAGTATGGCCGACAGGAATGATCAGAAACAACTATTTTGGGGGATGGCTTCTGAAGGTGAAAGCGTGTGACATTAATCAAGGAGCCATGTTTGCTTTCCAAAAAAGGCACCATGGTAATGAGATCTGAGTTGAAGCCTAAATAACTAAAAGGATAATATTGAACATGGCTCTTTCATGTCCCACATTGTTTATGTTAATAAAATCCAATATAGCTCCTAATCAACTTTACCTCTAAACTTCCCATGCTGTTTTCCCACTTTCTTATATAATTTATTTATATTTCCTAATTATTATTTTTAGTAATTATTTTATTTAAGTTAAACTCTTGGCCTGGTAAATAGCACCATTGGTATTGTTAAGCAAAACAAATTTCATTCTTATAGTGTATTTTTTTTTGATCAGTAACTCATAAAAGGACTTCATTAATTTTAAAAGAAAGTAGAGAAACAAGACATAGCGGAAAATATAGAAGACACGAAGTGTCTAGACCCCCCAAAATATTACAACTGAGTCCAAAACATTGTCTGTCTCTGAACCCCTTGCTTAGCTAGACCATCTGCTAGGCTATTGGCAGATCTTATAACCCAATTAACCTGAATAAACATACCCCCAGAGAGCCATTTGAAACACCTAAGAACATTACTTAGATGCCAAGATACTCCTCCCTTCTTTAGCCATTCCAGAACTATTTCAGAGTCACCTTCAATAATTAATCTTTCAATACCCAATTCTTTGGCTTTCTCAACTCTAAAAGTAGCTGCCAAGAATTCTGCAGATGCCACATCACCTTGCTCAATTGGACCTGAGAAGAAAGAACGTATATTTCCTTCCACATCTCTGTTACTCCTCCAATTCCAGAGGGGCCAGGATTGCCCACACAACACCCATTGAAATTCAGCTTCGACCAGCCACTTGATGGAGGTTACTAGGCCACTGCTGCTATCTGTCTTCTAGAAGAGGAAGCAACTATTAGCCCCCCAAGATCTGAAGAAATTATCGACCTAAAAGTCTGAAAACAGATGCAATGTTTTAACCCAATTAGGTTATGATCTCGATCAAGGCTTCCTTATTCCTCTCCTTGTCCCCAAATATTTTTGAATTTCTTTCCCCCCAAACTGTCTAAACCATTGCTGCCCTGACCACATTAGCCTACCTCTTTTATTTGTACAGTTGCAATTTGAAGGGCTAAACAATCCTTCCAAGCTGACAGGAGGGAGCCATTTGCAACCAAAAAGTGAAGCAAACCAATCCCAAATAAAGCCAACAGAGAGACAAGAGATTAAGAGATGAAGTTCATTCTCACCATTTAACTTACATAAGCAGCACCAATTGGGGGACAAACACCAGTTTGGTCTCTTCCTTTGGAGCTTATCGCATGTCTTAATGCAGCCGTAATACTCTTCCCAATAAAAAGCACTGACTCTAGGAGGAATGGGGAAACACTAGATTTCCCTAACAATGAAAGGAGAGTGGGAAGATGAGGAGGCTACACGGGAAATAAACAAAGATTTACAAGTGAAGAGCCCAACATGATTTAGAGTCCACACCCTACTATCCGTACCCCCATCCCCAAGAACCACAGAGTTCAGCAATGTAAGCAAATCAGACACACCGGGGATTTCAAATTCTCTAAGGTTTCTAGTGTAGCCCAAGTTTCAGTTCAACTCAAGAGGGGAAAGAGAGGGACTAATAAATTCTAACATTGGTCTACTTTTGAGATTGGAAAGAGTGTAAAGGGAGGGAAAGATCTCCTTCAAAGGGGACTCCCTGGGCCAAATATCTTCCCAAAACCTAATTTTTTGACCCGAGACCATGTCAATAGCTAATGTGGCTAAGGAAGACGGAAGAGAGTCATGGATGGATTTCCAAGGAGTAGCCATGGTAGCTCTATGAAGACAACCAACACGCCATCCATTGTTTGACAGCCCATGAACACTTTTTTTTTGACCAATACCATGAACACTTGGCACCACTTTATGCCAAAGTCTTTGACTTTCTTTTGGAAATCTCCATAGCTATTTACTCAACATGGCCAAGTTTTTTAATCTCAAATTTCCAATCCCTAACCCCCTTTTACTTTTGACTTTATCACCTTCTCCCAACAAAGCAAATGATCTTTCTTCCCTTTCCTAGGTTCCCACAAGAAGTTTCATAATCTTTTCAATTTTTTCACCACAACTTGGGGCATCCTGAAAACTGACATATAATATGTTGGTATAAAAACTGACATATAATAAACAGGAAGGTTAGCTAAGATGGATTTAAAGTTATTCTCCCTCCTAGAGAACTATAATTGCATTTCCATCCAGCTAGTCACTTCTCAAACATTTCCACCATTGGGTTCCAAAAGCCGAGTGATTCAGGGTTGTCACCTAAAGGTAATCCTTAGTATTTGAGTGGCCACTCCCCTTTCTCACACCCCAAGGAATCAGCCATATCTGATATCTCCCAACATATCTTCCTAAACATTAATGCCAACCAATAAGCTTTTATTCCAGTAAATCTTCAAGTTGGATACCTTCTCAAAAAGATTCACTACCAACTTCAAAATTTCCACCCCATCTCTATATTCTCCATCACAGGAGACTATGATATCATAAGCAAATTGCAAGTGAGTGACCAGAATTCTATCCCTCCCAACTGACCAACCTTTAATCAGCTGCAATCTATTGGCTCTAGAGATCAATTTGCTTAAAACCTCAGATACCAAGGTGAAAAGGAAAGGTGATAGTGGGTCACCTTGCCTAGGACCTCGAGTACCTTCAAAAAATTGACTACCGACCC